GATCCACACACTCAAACATCACAAAAATGGCTTGTAAACCGAATAGGCATTCTATAGAACAAATGTTCACTATCGAAAGTTTCACTGAATAATCTCATATTAGAAAGTATAATACATACTCCAGTATTCATAACTTGGAGTATGTATTATACTTTCTAATATTTACTACCACAATTGTAATTCTTATGGAACAGCTAGTGACTTACCAGTTGTCTGTCCATCATATAAATGTCTGGATATTATGGTAACTCATTCTTAAGAGACAACATCTAAGTTTTTCTGCTATCTTAAAACATTTTTTCAGCTATTTGTCATCATAAATGTAGCAGCAGTCAAGAATGTGTTGCCGAGTTCTTAGTATGTAACAACTTTCCAGACTGCGATGATGGGTCTGACGAGTTTCACTGCGGTGATCCTTCTCAAAGTGAGTTTTAGAATGATTATTTAGTTTACAATTTTTTTACTCATAGGCCTACCAATTCCAAATAAATCAAAATACAATTTTTTTTTTCGATTTTTTTAAATTTTATATATTTATTCTTTGCCCTGGGTAACCCGATCAGTTCAAAAGCATTATTAACCTCCAGGGCCCAGCAAAACCCATCTTTATTCCGAATTTAGAATTAGAGGGTAATGCTGCGTTCATTAGAACTTGTGAAAACTGATTTCAGAACTTGTAACATGCGAGTACACAAGAAGAGCGCATTCATTTGACGAACTCTAAATGGCTGCTGTCACTTTTGCAATGTGTTCGAAAATAAAACGTACAAAAAAACTTTTTTTTAAATCTGAAATAATATTACTTAAAACAATTTCAATAAATATGTTGGGTTGCAAATAAAACATACAAACAAACTATTTTTTATCTAAAATAATATTACAAATTGCAATAAATAACTATGCTCGTTGTGCATAGTTTGTGTTACATCCGCCATTTTCCACACTACTTGTGCAAATCGAGGAAGAGAATTCTACTCTAGTTCACAACTTGTGTTTACAAGTTCACTAACGAGATGAACGCGTTTCACAAGTTGTGAACTGGGAAACACCGACTTTACAAGTTCTAATGAATGCAGCATTATTCCAGAAGAGCCGAGCGAGCAGATTCCAACATTTTCGCTAAATCCTATCCCTTTGATACTTTTGCTAAGGTCCCACCAAGCGATGGGGTAAACGCGTATACGTGTGTACCACTGCCATCTCTACTATAATAGCTGGATTGCTCATTGGCTGGTTTTAGTGAGGCCACCGACGCCAAGAGTTGGAGGGCCTGAGTGATGTACCTGTTTACACAAGTTTCTTTTGGCATTTGTTTAAATTATTGTTAAAAATAACAATTCTTGCAAAACTTTTCAATAATAAAAATGTATTTAACGTAATGATTATTATCATCTCTCTACTTGATGTGACTTTTTATGCAGTTTAAGGAAGCGCAAGCAAAGTTGTTTGCGTTGTTAGGGATCGATGTCACTATAACAACGCGACTTCACTCTCGCTTTTGAAAACTGCATAAACTGTCGCGTCTAGTGGTTAGATGGTTTAAAAAACAAAAAAATCCTACATTAAATTTGAATTTATTATTGAAATGTATTGCAAGAATCGTTATTTTTAACTGTAATTTAAACAAATGCCAAAAGAAACTTGTCTAAAGTGGTCACTCAGGCCCTCCAACATGGCGTCGGATGCCTCACCTTTTTTCTGTACCAGAATTGGCCGATGAGCTATCCAGCTATTATAGTAGAGATCAGTGACGTGTACACATTTTTCGTGTAACAAACACGTATTCCTGTTCTGATTGGCCAGGACGGTGGCCTCCAGATATTGAGTAAAATCAGGCATTTGCCTAAGGCAAATGAAAAAAAAAAGACTTCTATAATTTTTTGATATTTTAAAATATTCACTACTAACTTTTGTCTCTAATTCGATGTACTATTCGGGGTTTTTTTCAAGATAGTTAAATCGTATATGGATTGTTTATAATTCGATTGTTTGTTTCATTTTGGATAATCTTGTAACTGCAGGTCAAATAATAGAAATGTCCTGTCTACTGGTTATTCTTTTATATAGTGTGTAATCCGGGTGAAATTCGATGCAACTCTGAAGACACTACATGCGTCAAACTGGCTTATGTCTGCTCATGCTCAGTAAATTCCGAGGCGTACAAGTTATTTTGTCCACAAGCCGGCATTAATAATACTCTATGTGAGTCTATTGTTTGCTACATTTAAATTTTAATTGAATATTTCGTATATTAGTAGAGTTGCTCAAGTCCCTCTTCTTCAGTTGCACTGCGCCACCATTAAGCAAAGTGAGAAAGCTTAAATTAATCATGGAAGTAAATATTGTCTATACTTAAACCGAAAAGGAAGAAAAATGTCAAATAATTTTGAACGCTGCTTACATTCTCGACTGGTAGTCAATTTATCGTTTTGTGTCTTATTTGATCCTTTTAATGTATTATCCAGCTCTATAACTGATTTTTTTTTAGTAACAAATAATTAGTATTTCAACAAATCATTTACAGTACATGTGAGTTAGAGCGAAACTATGCCTAAGTTATTTATACCTTAAATAAAAACTATGTGTAGTTCAGTTTAATTTATTCATCCAGTATTTAATGTTTAGACGTGTTTAACAAATTACAAATCTAGGTGGCAAAAATACTAGTTCGTATTGTGTCTCTTAGATTCGTGTCCAGTTGATTACTTCTTGTGCGAATCTGGCGGATGTATACATAAATATGGGGTTTGTAACACAGCGTATGATTGCTATGACCAAAGTGATGAAGTAGATTGTTATGGTGTAGGTATGTATTTTTATATCATTTTCTCCATAAGGTAAAAAATAATTGACAATTTGTCACATTCAGGAAGTGTCCACAGAATTGTCTAAAAGGAGAGGTTCTACTCAGTAGGCCCCTATTAGATTAGGTATTATTAGCATTTGTAGAATATATTATTAGTGTTAGTAAGACCACTTTGACATTATTATCCTTAGTATTAATTTATCTTTTTCCTTGATCATGTGTTCAATGATGATCAGGTGGAGACATTGTCGATCCTTTTCATACTGGATGGAGTGATCCCTATTCAAATGTTACAACGGATCAAAGCATCTATCAAAGTTTTATTGACACCTTCTACAAGGACCTACAATTTGATCGAGTAAAAGGCTTTTCTCCTGCGGATTGGCATGGTTTCTTAGCTTTCAGTTCGGCTGCAGATTATAGCGACGCTGAAGGCGTACTTAAGCTAACCAATGAAGAGATTTCGGTGCTTGGTCATCAGGCCGAAGATTTCATTCTAGAGTGTACTTACGATCAAGTTGAATGCAGTAGAGATGTGTACGTTTTTATGTATTTTGTTTATACTGCTATTTCTTTTAATAAGATAAATCAATCTGCTATTAATATTTTAAATATTTCTTTGAAATTTTTAATTCATTTAGTAAATCTTAGGCTCAAATTCTCTTTGTTTTTTTTTTTCTTCTTTTTGTGTGATTTTTTTTTTCTTTTTTATCCTTTTGTTCTTTTATTCTCAGTTTTTGCTCCGTTTAAATGACATTGGAAAAATACTTTTCCGGGTTTGTTTAAAATGTGTATTACTCAGAATATAAATAATAGTTTTGGCATAGTAATTGACTTTTCGAAGTGTCAGTCAAGCTTTACAACTGCCCAATCAGAGCAAGGTCATAAATATGCGCGTGTGTCGTACACACAATGTTGTCCCACAAACGCACGTTCTTGCGTATGTTTTTACACTGTCGTTTTTTATGACCTTCGCAACAATATTCAACTCGGTTTTTTATATGCACATTATTTTTAGATTCTATAAAACCCAAAATGACAAGTATGGCAATTGCTTCACATTCAATGATCCAAGAAAATTGAATAGTACTTACCATTCAACAAGAACGGGCGCTAGTAACGGTAAGACTCAAATAGTTTCCACCGACCAATCGAAACGTGTTATTCAATAGGTGGGGGATAGAAATACGCACATTTCCCACAAACACATACGTTTACTATACAAGTACGCAGGGGTGGTGCCAGCAGGGGCCGGGGAGCCAGGGCCCCCGTCGGGGAGGGTTCCCCCCCCCCCCGGCACAATTCGTCGGGGAGAAAAAAAATATATGGATTTTCTACATATTAGTATTTCTAAAATCGATTAAATAAGCCTTTGAAACCCCAAAATTGTCAAAATTTTCACGGGACCCCGGACCACTTTAGAGACCTTTTAATCGAAGCTTGACCACGCCCACTTTGCTTTCGTCGGGAAAATCTGACCCCTCGTTGGGCAAATCCTGGCGGCACCCCTGCAAGTACGTAAATTATGTTACGCTACAATTTTGTGATGGCACATTGGCAGCAATAGGGGAGGACTTAGCGGATTTTGTTTTTATAAATTGCAGTCGGTCGAGGGATGTTTCTCTTGTACCAACCCTCATCGTTATACTGATGTTTTACCGACATAACACTTTTTCTAAAACAGGTTTGAAACTGACGCTAAACATTGAACAATCGGAATACATCAGTCTATTTGGGAAAGACGCTGGAGTGCGGGTAGCAATTAGCCCGTCATATAAACCAGAATACCCAGATGAGGACGGTATAACGGTACAGCCGGGTGTAATTACGTCAATCGGCTTACGTTATGTGAGTTACAATTCGTCTCGTATATGACAAATGAAATTTTCATATATACACATACCTATATATTTGGCATATATAATATAAAATGTATATGTAATATTTATAAATTAACATTGAAATAACGAAAGATAGAACAATAGTGAACTTATTGTAATTACTTTTTAAGTGGCATCCCTATCACAAACTAAAGATGCGCTTCATAAGCCAAGTTTTGTTGTAAGGCTACGGGAGCGGAGCAGTCATTATTCGTGGCCGACTTAACACAGGATCTGGGGATTGGACAGCTTCACTAAAAATCTTCATTCCTTTTATGTTTACTATTCCCTTTAGAATTTTATATCAAGATTGTGGACAAAAGGCGGAAACTGTACTACAGGAATTGATGAGATTGCTCAATACTTAGCCAACGACGACCCTTTCTTTGCCGGTTTCGACACGTATGATGAGAGGGTAAATATATAATATTGCGTCTCTGATATAAGTATTGTGTAGTTTGTATAATTATTTCACATTAAAAAGAGCTACCTACCAAATTTTCAAAGTGAACTTTTTTTGTACTTCAGTCGCATTTTTAACCAATAACAGTGTTTTATAAAAGATGTTTTAAACACTAACCAATACTTCGGTGTGTATTCATTGTAATCATGATAACGCATGAAATGTACGGTAGTTAATACTGCAACATTGTTTGTTATAGCTTCAACTATAAATAGACTTACATTTATTATTTTATAGACATGCCAGAAAAGATGCATTAATCAGTACATTACGAGTTTATGTGATTGCACAGATACGTCAGTTGTTGATGGAACACCCTGCAATTTACTTCTCAAAGATCAAGGTAATCTCCTAAATCGAATTCTAATAAGTAATATAGACAACATACTAATGATAATAATAATAATAATAATAATAGTAGTAGTAGTAATAATAATAATAATAATAGTGTGTATATGTATAGTTATATATATATATATATTATATATAAGTCAATGAGCAGTTATATTACTATATATATAGCATTAAATAAATGCATTAGTCATTGTATTATAAGTATAGCAAAACATAATATTATGATATAAAATAAACTTCAATATATATTTATACTAATAGATTCCGTTCTGTCCGTTACTCACTTTAAAATATAAACATCATTATAAAAATTGCGGTTTGCCAAATCTATAGCAGAGAACTGACACTAGACGATTACTTTTTTTTAAATTGTTTTTCTCCACTCAGATGTTTGCAGACAGTTAATGTACCACTTGTATCAGCAAGATGCTTTAAATTGTAATTGCCTACAGGCGTGCGAGTAAGTTTATTCTACATTTAATGGTGGAATCATATGGCATAGTCAGGTAGGGCTTTATAGGCCTAGAAGTAGCAGCAGTTGCAGCAGCAGTAGGAGTGCATTCAGAAAAATATATAAAATGAAAATAAATCCGTATTTAAAATTCATCCTCTTGCGTCTTTTTTCACAGCGAGGTTTACTATTCGACAACAATATCACAATCAGTCTGGCCTTCAAATGTTTACCTGGTAAGAATACCGAATTTATTATGGTTTTTAGTATTATTTAGGAGAAAGAGTATAAAAGAAATGAATAGAGCACTATGAAGTTAAGGAAAAGCAATGTAGTGTAAATAAGGAAAGGAAAATCGAAAGAAAGAAAAAGAAGCTATAAAAAAATGCAATGTAATGAAAGATACAGAAGGAGAACGAAAAAAGGGAATTAGGAGAAGAAGGAACTTAAATAAAAATATAAGAAGGAAAACGAAAGGTTGAAATAAGGAGAAAGACAAGCAACTGAAGAAACAGAAAGGAAAGAAAGGAAAATAAAATAATAAAAAGAGACTACATAGAAAGGAAACGAATGGGCTGAAAAAATATAGAACAATAAGAAGAAAGGAAAAGGTTTAGAAAGAAAGGAATTGGAATAAAATTGCCAGAAAGAAAACGAAAGATTTAAAATAAATAAGAAAGAAAAGAACTAACGAAAAGAAAGAACAACAATTTGAAAACTACATTGAAAGAAAAACGAAAGGCTGAAAAGGTGTAGAACAAAAAGGAGGAAAAGCAAAGATATAGAAATGAAAGGCAAAATCAGTAGAGAATGTATAGAATAAAGAAAAGAGAGATAATGGAGAAAAGGTAAAAATTATGAATAAAAAATTAGAATTACTGATTTTGTTGGTAAGTTAATTTCTAATTTCAATTAATCATACTAATATAAATATATAATACTTTTTGGCTTGGTAATTTGTAAAATTAAGCCTCAATGTTTTGCTTTTCTAAGAAATCAATATATAAAATAAACGAATAATTTTTCTTTCCGTCAAGAGGCACTGCGCCTCGGAATAGCACGGTATATGCTATTATCATCATCTTATTATCATTATCATCATTAAATATTATTATTTTTATCTTTATTATTAATATATTATTACTGTTATTATTGTTACTATTTACTAACATATTACTATTATTATATACTAAAAATGCATGAATCTTTCACAAATGTATTATTATTATTAATAAATATTACTTATTAGGAAGCATTGTAATAGGATGTTATGTGTATAAAGTGTGTGGGGTGTGTGTGTGTGTGTGTATGTTACACTGAGTGCGTAAATACGTTATCACTATCGTTATGGCCACTTATTTATTCATTTTTATTTAATAACATATTTAACCAGGATACAATCGTTTATGAAAATATTTGATATCGCTGTCTATTACTAATGATAATTACAGTACTGCTAACAATACCAGTTTTATTATAATCGTATAATTACCTTAAACCACAGTAATTGTCATACATTGTCAAGATTTACCGTATTTTATTGCCATTGTCATTATTGTAATGGTCTAATATTATTAGACCATATTAAATAGTAGAATGTATTGCATTTAATTATTTGTTTTACTAATTTGGATAATCTAGTTTTCACATTGTTATAGGAATCACTGAAGAGGATCATCCACACGGAAAATTCAAAAACAAAAGTCTTACAATCTAAGGAGGATATAAGGTATGCCTATTGTAACTTCGCATGATAGTCAAAGTTCTTCGATAACAATATTGCATATTATGATTTGGCATTTCGTGTATGACGTCATAGATAAGTACAATATTCAACAGTCAGCGAGTAAATATAATAGTATTTTAGAGAAGTGTTCTCTTTTATCGGTCCTAGTAATATACTTTTTAAATATGTATGGCCATACATGACATGTCTATCTCCTGCAGGGAAAATCTGGTTAGACTTGAAATTTACTACGAGGAGTTGAATTACGAAAGTACTGTAGAATCATCAGCATATGGGGTATGAATTTTCATATTATACTGTATGTTGTATGTTAATAATAGTGAATAACATGGCGTTGATGATGTCATGATGATGATGATGATGATGATGATGATGATGATGATGAAATGACGGCGGAGATGGTGGTGACGGCGGCGGCGACGAAGACAGTGATGATAAATATGAAGACGGTGATGATGATGATGATGATGATGGTGGTGGTGTTGGTGATAATGGTAATAATAAATATTAATAACAATAAATTAGATTTGTATAGCATTCATATCCATTTTAAAATATACTCAAGGTGCTTGAGAGAATAAGCAGCGGAAAAAGAACAATTCGGAAAACTAAGCCAGTAAATATCCTAAAAATTAACCAGAGGCAGATGAAGCAGCGTTAAGGCTGTATTATTATCAACATTAATGATATTACAATTTCGTTTTAGGCTCCCGATCTTTTTAGTGATTTAGGAGGAACTGCAGGACTTTATCTAGGGTTGTCTGTTATCAGCATTTTGGAGTTTTTTGAACTGGCATACGTTATTATACAATACATGTGCCGCAGATTAAAGAGGAGCATCAGACAAAGGCTGGATGCTGCAAAGACATTGGAGCATGAAAAGATGGAAAGTCAGCGGTACTGTGGGCGGCCGCGGGTGCCACCAAATAACTATTATAACTTTAGATTCCGGTAAATATTAATGATTAGACAACAGTGTACTTCATAAATGGCGAATTATTTTTACAGTACAGTAGAGATCAATTCACAAATAAAAAAATGCAATATATTGAAAAAGTTCATTATATTATGCGATCTTTTCAAATCAAGTTATAATGTAAACAATATACTGTAGAATTAATTAGTACTATATAATATTTTTGTACTAGCCAGGATTCCGTGGTGGTCTTATTTGACAAATCTAAGTAATAGTAATGGTGACTAAAGATGACAATATTTTCCTTCGGCAATACTTAATATTTAACGGCAATAATAGTTTAAATAATAGTAATTACTGATAATTGCAGGCCTACTGCTTGACATTAATTAATCATTCATATTCGCATACTAGCCATATGCTGATAATCAATAGTCAACGATCATTAGGCCTAAATAGTTACTGTATGGTAGTAACATTAATACTTAGGTAAGTACTCACAATATGAACCATAATGAAGGGTGCGATAGATGAAGTCAAATACATTTATGATACTGCCCTCTCGCTTCATATAATAAGTAATTAGTACAGTGACTCTACTATTTTCAAATTAGATTGCAAAATATTAATACGTTCGTTCGATTATTTTGCATACATAATCGAATATGAAAAATAAAACGTAAAGTAAATAATGCTAAGCGATTGTTGGAGTAATAGTAAATACGGTATATTACAGATAAATGCCACAAAACAGCGTACGATATTTACTTTTATTAAATATAATATGAATTTTAACTATTATACAACATAAAGCAAAATGATTATATACCAAAAGTTCTGTATTATTAGCGACACCATATTTACAGCTTCTCTTAAAA